AATTGGGGTGGACGGTCAAGGCTGAGGTCCTGCGGGGCTGGACGTCGGAGTGGGGGCAGGACATCGAGGAAGGGGGTGGGGGGCCGGGCAGCACCTGCCGCGGGGACCCTCTGGGATTGCAGGGGGGGGAAGCAGGGAAGCCCCGCGCCCGGCTCCAGACAGCGGCGGCCAGAGGGGGAAGGGGGAGAGGGTCGAGGACTCGGGGTGAGGCGGGGCGGATGGGACAACGAGGCTAGTGTTGTATGCCTCTGCTGGGGGGATCGCTGTTTCATTCGGCGAGATACATTTGGGGCGAGAGGTCGTGTCTGACGGTGCAGGGCGGGGGCGAACTCAGTGCTTCGACTTCAACAAAGGAGTGTGAACGGTGGCTGAGAAGAACGTGTGCGCTACCGGCAAGAGGAACAACCACCACTTATAGGTCAGTTTGAGCGGCTGTGCGCCTGGCGTCGAAAAACTGCTGCAATTTATATATTTTTGAAATCAAAGAAGTTGTGGGCTAATTTGTTAATGCTAAAATTATTGTACTTGGGTGAAGACAATACCAGGTGCCTGATTCACGCCGCGCACTTCTGTAGGTATACTGTACCGCATGCACGAGTGCGGATTCGGCCTTAGAGGCATTCAGGCATAAACCGGCGTGAATCAGCCACCTGGTATTGTAATTGGTTGCTCGTGTCAGCGTGGCGTCCTCCAAAGACTCACTGCGAGGTACCCCATTTTTTTTTACAAAAAAATGATAGGTTCGTTCGGCGATTTAACAAAAATCAGTGAATAAGGCATTTGACGAATCCTAGTCCCATACCAAATTCAACTCCTTCCCTCTCATTAGAACGTAAGAGAGTGACGATGACAAAAAACAGGCTCGAGATGAATTTCCTTGGGTGCACGAAAGAGACAGCCGGCCCGGTCCGCTATGGGTGTGATTCGCGGTGTGACTCGAGCTTCGATCGAACTATAAAACATCATTATGATTAATATTTTAAAATGATAATGTTGAATTCAATGGGTTGTTGCAGCTGAGCATCAAATCTTATCAATTATTATCATGCCAACATTTTATGAATCAAGAATCAAGAACAACTGCTTCTGTTCTCACAGGTTACCGAAAATTGATTGTTTGTTGGGACGAATACAAATTTGAACTTTTATTTCGTGGAGTGTGACTGTTCTTCAGAACACCTATAGAGCATAGAGAAGCAAGTATGTAAGAGTGCACACTGCTCATGCATGCAACGCGCTGCCATTTCAAAATATTCCCAGGCCCCGCCAGTTCGCTGTCGATGCCGCCGAGCCCACCCGCCCATCCACCCCGGCTCAGATCGTGCGATCACTTATTTGAGATGCGCGCCGGGACGTGGGGGGGGGGGGGGGGGGGGGGGGGGCTCGGAGTCACAGAACACTGAGGCCGGGGCAGTCAGTAACGAGGGCGAACAGCTTGGGTCTTGCGTTGGGACGAGCAAGAAGAATAGTTTTACAAATAAGGCTGGGGGTGGGTGAGAGTAATTTTGGTCGGGTCGGGATGTTGTCGATTTTTTTTTGTGTTGTAAAATGGGAGAGAGAGTGCAGTGTTAAGCACACGCCACTGTTGATTAGGCTGCTGAACAGCTACACCACTCAACGCAGCAGGACCAGGGTTTTCGGGGAGAGGCGGAGAGGTGTGAGAAGCAGACAGAGAACTCGTCGCGCGCCGGTAGTCTATGTTGTCAGTTTGGGATGCACACATTGTGTGACCGTGGCCCTCACATGCTCTCTCCCCCCC